CCAAAACATGTTTTAAGAGAATTGTCCTCGAAGCGCTTGACTAAAGCAGCCCTTCTTTTAACTATAACATTAAACGTAATTTTTTAATTAATTCATATTAAGCTGTTGAAAAATAATATCAGTTTCGCACTTGTCATTCTGAAAGAGGGGGGGGGTTGTTCACGTTAATGAGTTAACCTTTTAAATTATGAGCAAATGTAGAACCTTTTAATTCTATCTGCGCAATCAAATTGTTTTCTATAAAAGTCGGATTGGGTCTATGTTTTACTTATTTTTTAAATAATTTACTTAACTGTTTAAAATATGATTAATAAGTTCAAGCTCATTGCCACATCTGTTTACTTTTCAACTGAGACTCTAGTTTAGAGCCTATCCAATTAAACTTCCACTTCCGATAATTACAGATGCAAACTTAATTTTATTTTTACTTTCATAAATTGACAAATTAGTTGAATCTTTCCAACCTCAGCACCTGGAAAATTTGTAATATTTAAAAGTGTGACAAAAATTAAATTTCAAACTTAGATAAAGGAAACTGCAGATTTATGTACACTCTTTGAGTAGAATGAAATAATTTTATTGATTTTTCAGTGTAGTTCACAGAAGTTAATGGCAGAAGAATTGTCAGAATCGCCCACGGGGACAGAATAAATAAAATTTTTGAGCAATAGTAATTCGAAAGGGCTCGAATCCCAGCAAACGCGCTCGCTTCATGGGCAGATTTATAGCCCAGTTTCGCTTAGACAATGCTGGAAGAATGTCATTCTTGTTAGACAGATAACCTTCGTGTTCGTTGCCGTAATCATCTTAACAAACAAACAGTCGTTTGAATATCTGTTATCTGATAACAGGAAATTTGTGTAAGTTCTTTGTTTCGATAAATGGAAATCTTATGCGCTGGTAAACTTTTATTTATTTATTGCAGAAGTTTTATTTATTTAGACATTTCAAAAACTTTTCTGTAAGATTCTTCTTAAAGATACTAGTTTTTATAATGTCAGAAATAATTTTGTTTTCTTCAGCACTTAGCGCTTTCATTTCATTGTTAATTGTGTTATTAAACATGAAACTCAAAAGTGATGTGCTTTCTAGAAGCCGAAAAAAAGGGTTAATTTTTGAAATATTTTGGATACTAGAAAAAAAAAGGCATCCTAATGGCTGTTGATATAGACTTTTCACTTTCGTCAAAATGATATCATTAATCTGATGATCTTATCTGTTGGATGCCGACCAATATTAATATAATACGTCTTATCCAGTGCTTATTCCTTCTTGATTATGTTAAAGATTATAGTAAATAATTACTATTTTAAAACTAATTCCTTCTTACTTTTTTATTCAGTAATTCGCTGTAGGTATTTAAGATCTAATGAAGGTAAAGAAAATGATGAAAACAATCTGATGCAACATATTCACAGAGGCAGTTTGCAACAGCAAAGTAGAAAATCTCACAGGTTTTTAGGTTTACTTGATGATTAATGCTCAAATGAATCGTCAACAGTACTAAAAAAACTCTATAAGATATTTTCTACCTCCTTTCTGCATGCCTTCGTGGTGTAACGGTAGTACACTCGGCACGTATTCAAGAGGTCCAGTTTCGAGTCCCACCGAGGGCATTGCTCATTTCTCATGTCTCCTGCTTCAAAACTCCTAATGACTGTACAGCTCACATTCAAAGAATGTTTAAAAACATCCCCAGGAAATGATTTTAAGTGCAAAAGATAAACATGGTGAAAAATATCTAAATTTAGAGAAATATCTAAAAATTAGAAAAATACTTAAAAAATTCAAATCTAAAAAGAATTTCTAAATTTTTTTACATACTGTAATATTTTCTAGACTCATTAGGTTTCCAGAAGCAAGAAAATCGAAGGAAACCACAGTGCCCTCCCTAGGATTCGAATACCGTAGCTACCGAATGCGCGTCAAGCATGCTTCCAATTACATCACGAAGGCGTGTAGAAAGAAGAGAAAAATACCTTATATACTCCCCCTTGTAATGGGCGACTGGGATAATAAGAACGAATTGGTAAATCCTGGTGGTGACGAAATATGGTCTTCAAACCTTCTACTTCGAGCGTCACTTGTAAAGATGTTTTTGAATTTTCCGATGCTGGAAACTAAAGAAATTCGCAATGCCCTCGCCGGGATTTCGAACTTCGGACCTTCTGAATATGCTTCGAGGTTGTTTGCAGTTACACCACGAAGGCATGCGGAAAGGAGAGGGAAAACACCTTGTAACTTATTGGATTAACTACAAGCAAAAATTCATTCTTGTATCATAATACAAATGTTAAGCCTTAACGTTTACTCTAAAGAAATAGGTCAATTAAATGTAAATTACGGTCAGAGATTTAATAAAATATTTCTGTTTTCATTAACGGTAGCAAAGACAATCGACATAACTGCACGTTAGTCTCTACACATTGCGAGCATTTCGAATAAATATTTCGGAAATAAATAAGCATTGCTTTAGTCTTAACGACTAGGAATGTTGGGGAATACTTTTTTCTGTCGTTTTCAAAATGAACCTTGCCAAAAAAAGAATTTACAGTCTAGATTTATCCATAGAAAATTTCTTTAAGCCCTAACGGCAATGGGATTCTTCACATAACGATCTACAAAGCTTCCTGGCTATCTCACAGTTACGCAAATGAGCAGGGAAAAGGCGTTTCGGTTTTAGAAAAGTTCGATCGATGCGAACTACAAAAAAAAAGTGCTTAACAAAGCCGCTATAAAAATCGAAAACAAGACTCTTGCCTATTCTTTGAACTCTTGTTTTAACTTTAAATCAACTGAATTTATGGTAGAATCTTGCGTATATGGAAATAATGAACTTTCGTCTCGAAGGATTTTACCAAAAACAAAAATGTTCAGCTCTTTATAGTTTTTGCAGTAAGTGTACTCTTCAAACAAATATTTTTTATCCCAGTAAATTTGAAAACTTTAGAAAAGGTTTGTTATAGGAAACCTCATGTCTGAAAAGCTGCTTAGATGCTTCTTAGGAATTAGGAATGAAATTCTAAAAAATTCGCATAACAAGATAATGCATTCAAATTGCTACAATTTTATAATATTTTCTGAAAAATCTAAACTTTTTATATATATTATATTCATGACAGCTGACAGTTCTAGTGGTAGTTAAAATGTACCTTTATAACTTCCAATAAAACTGTTTTGTGGTATTACCCTTAGTACGAATCTTTTACATAGAACCATTTTCTGCTTCCTTAATTTCCATCCAATATTTCTACAGGAATAAGCTTGTAAACATCTATGATTCTAAGTCTTTCTATGATGTTTTGGAGATTCCGTTATGTTTTGAGTGGCCAGGTATTTCTGCACTATCTCTTTTATTGCAAAACGTCATCATTATTATGAAACATGTCATGCGTCAATGTAGATGAAACTTCCGAAATGCTGCCATTCTCATTCTATTACATTATCTGGAAAAGGAATTTAGTTCTACCAAATCCTATAGTTTGCACACATTTTGATTGATTTGTTTTCCGTCTATAACCATTGCAGTATTCTAACTGGTTAATGTTTTCATGCGTTCTGAAAGAACTAATAACTGAAGATTATTTGTTTGTTTGTTTCCTAATAAATGAAATGACATAACTTCGTTTTGTATTAAAGTGTAGGTCTATTCAAAATTCTTTAATAATATTTAGAATTTGAAATTATAATAAAATTAATTAAAATGACCTTATTAAATAATAAATTATTAATTAAAATTATAATGAAATTAAATAAAGTGACATAAAATTAATTAAAATACATTATGGAGGTTTACGTTCCCATAACATTTTAAAGAATTGCTTATCTTGTGCTAATATGAAATGAATTTAAGCAAATTATCGTTTCATAGCCTAAATAACAATGTTGCACACTTTTATAATCATACTATAATGAGATAAGAAGAAGTTCCAAAAATTCGCTTATTATATATTGAATTGATTTAGTAGTGATAAAAATCATGATTATAACTAAAGATTCGTCTTCTGCTTTATCATACACAAAATTTGTTTTGTTAAATATTGCGGAAACAATTTCTGCATTTTATTTCTATGTATAGTGAGTTAACTATTGGATTAAAAACTCCTAGATGCTGCAAAGTTAAATACATACTTCTTTCAAATGTTACATTTTGGAAAAGTAAGATTTCGTTTTTTAGATTGCGACGTATTTAAGGTGATCATTAAAAAGAAAGAGAAAATTACATAATTTAGAATGCATAAAATATTAGGCCATGATAATTTTCAGCATGAAAATTTTGAAAAGATACTGATAACAGCTGTAAGTATAAAATTAAATTTCTAAGTGCTCAATAACATCAGCATACATACCTTTATTTTTAAAACAAAAATTAGTTGAATCTATAACTTGCATATTACACTTTAAGATGTTGCTATGAGAACAAAAAAAAATATGATATTATAAATCCTTACACTCATAAAACGAAAATGTGTTCTTTTACATAAACTAGGCCTATTTTACAATTTTACGCTTATTAAAGTCCGGTTTAAATTGATTGAGAAATACCAAACAAAGAGCACTTTAATCAAAATATTTTCAATAATTAATAATTTTTCAATCCAGTGGTGGGCCCTTGCCTATTCAGGCACCTGATAGGCTGTCACAGAATCTATGAAGGGGCGTAGAGTTACAACCATGCCCTCTTCGGAATTCGAGCCTGAGCCCTTCGGGACCGCAGTAAGCTCACCTATATACCGTCTGGAAGTCTATTTAATTTATTTGATTAATTTTTTAGTAATTAGTTATTTTAATTATCATAATTAATTATCGTACTTAATTAATAAAATCTACTAAACTAGAAGTTATCTGCATTTAGTATCATAAAACACTTTAAGCAAGCACCGAAAAAAATATTCACACGCAGAAAAATTATTTATTATATTTTCCTTTGTGTTTTAATTGCTCAAATTTCTACAAAAAGATTTATTCAAAAATTCATAAACTATCATGCAGCTACTTACCTGAAAATTTATAGTGCCACTTCCATCATGGTCAAAGGCTTTAAACACATAATGAGCGTACTGGCTGGCATCTGAAATTAAGTTTAAAGTCTGTATTATTATGCACAATGCATTTATTTTATGATATTAACATATGGTAATCTTGCCTTCACTTTAAGAGGTTTTTATCATATTGGAAAGTGTTTTAAAGAATGTTTCGAGCTAAATTTCCACTTTTTGTATACATAATTATAACCGAATACCCCATAGATTATAAGTTTTACATAATAGGATTTTAAAGTTACGAAGTTTTACGAATATTTTACACTTAGTATAGTAACACTTATACAACGTTATCATTGAAAATGTAAGGAAGATCTCACTTGTATTTCTTAAATATTGTATCATTGCATTAGTTATATAAAACGAATAATTTAACTATAATGCACATATATAGATGCATAAATGTAATGCATGTAAATTGTAATTACAATAGTTTACAATAATTAATTATTGTTCCCGACTTATATAAGTAATGTGTTGTGTGAACTTTCATGTAACTTAAATTTTATGTAAATCGCATTTATAAATTTCTCAACTACAATATCACACATATTAGTTTGTAAATAAAATACAATGTAGCAATATTTTCTGGGATATAAACTATAAAAGTATGAAAATATGAAAAACTGAAAACATACTTTTTTAACTTAAAAAATCGTCTTTTGACAGCTAATATAGCTCTGCAATGGGAACGTCGGCTCTGGAAGTTGGTAATCGTGAAAAGAAATGCAGTTCTCTGGCTGTGGTTTAAGCTTCAAGTCTCCTGAAGTATTGCCGCACAAAGTAACAGTCATCCGGTCTTTGCCATACTTGAATCCAGCCATAGAACAGTTTTTCTTGTGCAGTACATATCCGTGTTGGCATTTCTTTCAAAAACAGAGCCATTTCATCAACAATAAATATTCGTGCTCCACCTATGATTTGCTGTCTCACGGCTGACTTTGGTGCTGCTTAGATTTGCACGTTTTTTGAATCGTTCGAATCATCTAACTCTCGATTTAAAGCCATTTTTTGTCTAATAGATTACAACATTTTGCTGTAAATCTCCATACAAAAACGTAGTCTTCCCATGAATAATCAGAAAACCCAACAGTATCATCTTCTGTGTCAGATTTTAGATTCAGATGGACAAAAATTTCTCCATCTCCAAATTGAGCCCAAGTTCTTCTTGGTGACAACTGCGTTTTTCCAAATTACCGTAACTTTCAGTATTCAGAACTTTATATCTGAATACCGTATTCATTGCCGGAATAGACTGATTTATATTCCGGAATATTGATGATATAATTCTGCCGTTTTCACACATTCGAATTAGTTTCATCTTTTCGTCTACAGTAATCGCAGACCTTTCTAACTAAATCCTTCAGTTTCGTATTTCAAATCCATTTCCATGGAACATAAGCAATAAATTTTAATGGTAATGAGCAATAACAGTGCGAATATTATTTGAATCTAAGAAGTGCAGGTCGAGAAAGGAGGAATTGTTTACAGAGTAAATTATTTCTAATTGTTTGGTTTCAGTTTGAATGTTAGAGCTCTTTCGCAATTACGCAACTGCAAATATTGTCGCGAAACTAGTGCACTTAAATATCATGCACATTTAAATTCAAGATGCGAAGTTCAGCTACATATCTGGAAGCTTTTATATGCATTTGGTTAGTGCCCATTTTTATTAAGTGAATTATCGAATTCTATATGTCAAACTAATCAAAATAATTTCAATTTCTTGATCTTGGTGATAATGTAATTTAACCCTTGTTCCTTCGGGGCAAATCTTCAACAAACAAATCAGAGAAAAATAAAATGTTTTAATTTCTTTTAAAGTTTGTAAGGATATTGTAAAATTTCAGTCTTTTCAAATAAATTTTGAGCTTGAATTACTGAATAGAAAATTTAGTTCAAACTCATATTTAACATCTTAATGGATCATGTTTAAATAATCAATGAATCATTGAAAACAAAAATTACTTTAAGATTTTACAAGTACAAAAATGGGGAAATTACGATACTGGATATTCAGAAACCGAAATTTTCTGTTAGTTTTGTAAGAAAATATTCAAAATCAGAAATAAGAATGCCTCGCTTACGTGGGTAAAATTTGTGATTGAAATGTAGGCGATGTTGAAGCTTTACGTTTTCGCTCTAAACATTCTGATAGATATTGCAAGCTAGCAGTCTTCATTTATAATTATCTTAAGAAAATTACAGTATAATTTGTTCACATCTTGAATACACATTCTTTCTTGCTAAGAATTACTAATCTTTCTATACTTATGAGTGTGTAAGATGTTAACAATCACTGTAATATTGTTAATTAAAATGGATTAGGAAAATTGTTAACCCATATTTCAAATGTGATATATTAGAGCAAAATACATATTCTTTCAAAAAATTAAAAAATATGACAAATAAGTAATACATCCTAACAAGAAAAATTTCCTTTTCTGTTTTGACTGGGATAAGCTGTCGAATGTGAGGACAATGTATGCATGCCAAACGAAAGTTCAGCTAGGTTTCTACAGTCTTGAATATTCAACATTTATTCAGAATGAAAATATTTCGAAGAATGGTAATATGAAGAATCATACAAAGAAATTATTTGTAAAACATCAAATTAAAGGCAAAACGAAATCACTTTCATTCGCCGATAAAAGGCAACCCTTTAAAGCAACAAATGTAAGCCTGGAAGTATTACAAAAAGTTATGATCTTGGATTTCACTTTAATCAGCGGCTCTTATTAAAACAACGTTATTATCCTTGCAATTACAGTATCTTGTAACTTTCTCTTTAATTTAGTTAACAACTCTTAACCGTCGAATAAAATAATCTTAATGAGACTGTGAGGTAGAATTACTCTCATTAAATGTGAGAGTGTTCATCGAGTGCGTGCACTAATAAAGGCTTTCTCATCTTCCCGAAAGCCATTGGGTGATAAGTGTTTCTTACAAATCTCGTTACATAAATTATCTTCTGAAACAACGTAACATTAGTTTGCATTATTTATCGAAAAGTTACCTATGTATGCTAATTTTAAGCAATTTAAAAAAACAACGCATTTATTCATTGCTTGCGAATGTTGTCATTGTCGTAGCAATTGTGTTCTTACAGAAGCGCTAAGCAAAAAGTAATTTGAGAATGCGGACGTTAATGCAATTTTAATGAACATAAATTTCAACGCAATAGGATTTGCGGTTATAAATATGAAACTATCAGATTGCACCTCCAAATAATTAAAACGAAGTATGCAATGTCTTTTACAATTAAGGACCTCCAATGAATGCTATAATATTAGAAACATAGATTTCAATAGAGATATGTTATTGATGGTATTCCAAATCACTGGACATTTGCAATTAATTCCTTCTTCGAAAATTCCAATACCCATTCTTCAATTAATCATAACATCACCCAGAACGTTGCCCAGGATTCATCACATGTGAGAACCTATTTACACCGGTGAGAAAAGAGAACTCCCATCTCAGTTTTAAGGGGCAACTTCCCGGAGATTTATCAGAAGGATTCTCACCCCTCATTCCCTACTACCTAACCTGCTGAGAAGGCTTTCGACTTTCCAGTATTTTAAGGGACCCCATGTCACACAGACACTATGCACTTACAAACACCCAAGATGTCTAAGTAATGTGAACCAGGGTCACACGATTAGTGATTAGCGATTATGGTAGTCATAATCGCTAATCACTACACCAATCAAGGCAGCACAATCTAAATAATATTCCAGTTATAAATTTATAGTTTATACACCTAAATATTAGTTGCAATATTGTGGGTCTAGCGCTGAATGAAAATGATAAACATATTTTTTTCCTCACATTTAGCTGTTAAAAGTAATATAGATGTATTAAACACATCATCTGTTCTTCCTTTATCTACTTTGTGATGGATTTATTATAATAATGCACGTCTGAATTAATTCCACTTGTGGAAAAATAAGAAATTATTTATTTGGAAACATGACTTGAAATCTTTTGACGTACTCTTCAAATACTCTGTGAAACGTTCTGATTTTTATAACGAAATTCTACAGAACCATTTCTCTTCAATCTTCTTATTTTTATGAAAAAATCGAAAGAAAAGTCCATTTTTAAGTCAAGAAAGTTACAGATCTCTACATGTTTTTCAAAATTTTCAATTTTCAACATAGTGTTCCTAAAAACTTCACTTTTGAAAGATAGTCTTTGGACAGTACTAATATGCAGCCTTGAGATTCTTGTCTGCATGAGGAGGGGCCATCATTTATATTCAATCTCTTTTCCAAGAAAGTTTTAAGAATTTACTTATTATTTGTAACTACTTAAGGGTGTTTCCAGATTGTAGGAATTGAACTGTAGTTCAAATTCTAGAACTTATGGACAATGCTTTTGGCAAGAAGCAAGTCTTGGCATCTTTACGTAGCTATCCCGTATTGTTTTAAATATTGTTTGGCCCCATTCAACGATTTGACTGATACATACGTATTTTTGTAATAAAGTTTTTGCAGCTATGGAAGATGCAAAGAGCAAATCACCTTTTTTTCCCGGGGGGGGGAGAGTGTGTGAAGACTTCAGAAAATTTCAACGTCTGCGAGGAGTATTCTTTTCTAACATTTTAATAAACCTTTACGGAGTGTTCGATTTGAGAGCTGAACTATTCCATAAATAAGTGGACTGAGAAGACACCTAAAAAGGTTATTTGAGGATGGCTTAACGAAATTGGTTTTTCGTTGGAATAAATGTATTAAAAAATAAGGATTACGCTGAATAATTGCTTTATAATATTAACTAAAACTGACGAAATAAAAAGAATATACTTAAATTGCTAAAACTTTGGAAACACCGTTCGCATATTCCGTATGTTTACTAGGAACTTCTCCGCTGTAAGATAATGTATATGAAAGTCAGAGTACATCCTTTTGGTATTAATAAATTTTAAGAATAATCATAAAACATTTAAATTGATTCTATATGTGCATGCAAATTTTCGTACCTAAATGTACCTAATGCACTGTAACATGATGCGAAAGCAATTAAC